GTGCTAATGAGGTATGGCAACTTGGACCGATGTACATATGTGCCTGGTCCTACGTTGTGACTGAATGACTGGATCTAACACAAAACCGCATCGATCTAAGTCATTATAATTCCCATCATCATACACACAGAAAATGACTACTATTTGTGTCGTTGAAAATCAAATAAATGTGGCTCAAAGCAGCACGAGAAAGCGCAACTAGTAAGTTATCTATTACATCTCTATACTTCATTTGAGTAAAACCACACGCACCTATAATCCCAGAATTTTAACTTCTTATGAGTACATCTCCCCAAATAGAAAAGTAAACACTTATCGGTTTACAAAGGCTGTATGATGCTCATTTACAAAATTATTAATTGGTGACACAAAAACCGAATTTTCGGATTCTGATTTATTTTTTGAATTCAAATTTCTGGTCACTAAATGAATAAGTAATTCATCCTTAATATATCTAACTCGACACACAAGAACTTGTTTACGTATTGGAGTACATAACACACTCACTAAGTATTTGTTTTATTACTGTAATTTGAACCAGTAACTTATTGGGCCAATAATATTATTCAGGCACCCAAACCGGAGTAAGCTGCCACTAGAACCCGCGACGTTTTGGGTGCAAGCATCAATTACAACCCCAATATTTCACACACAAGATATACCATAGAAGAGTACTATTTCCCCTCAAGAATAGACTTTAGCGTGTAGTATGAATCCCTTAACAATCACTACGTAATGAAGTGTTTTTTCTTTGATGAAAAATATACAAACATAAAATTCAGACAGCTAACACATAATCTGCGATTAACTTAACACGCTATAAGCATTTCAGTGTCGTGACATGCTAGGTATGTTTGATGAACCAATTCCCAAACTAATACTTAAACAAAACACAAACAGGTTTAGAACTCACTTGATCATATTCAGATGAACCAGGATATAAAGGCCAGCCGAGGAAAAGCTCAGCTAAAACACATCCCAGTGACCACATATCAATTGCTTCATCAAAAGGTAAGCCCAGAAGGATTTCAGGAGCACGATAGTAACGTGACTGAAGGTACGTATTTTGAACAGCTTTGGAGCTATGGCATGCAGAACCAAAGTCGATTACTTTGACTCTGTAACGCATGTTTTCTGAGTTTGGATTCACTAACATTATATTTTCCGGTTTCAAATCAGCATGAATTAAACCAAGAGTCTTTAACTTTGATAGGGCCGTGAGAACCTGCTGAGAAATGGGGCGGATCTCAGGAAGCGTCAGTGGACGAAACTTATTTGACTTGAGATACTCATATAAGTTTTGATCCAATAACTCAAACACGAAACACATATGGTTTCTATGTTGAAAGCACTCAATCGCCCTGACAATATTATGAGACTCTGTATCCTGTTGAGCCAGTGTTTGCAAAATTTGAATCTCTATATTGCCTTGCCTTAAATAGGAAGGTAGATTCTTCAATATCTTGATAGCTACATAACGACTCGTTGATCGACAGCGGCACTTGACAACCTGGCCGAAAGTTCCTCGCCCGAGAAATGAAAGAACTTCATATGCCTCGCCACCAGAATTGAGCATCTCCCCGACAACTATGGCATAGTCACCTTCAGTTGTAGTTAGCTTTGAGTTCGCCTTTGCGGTTGCAGCCGGCAGCGTATTCATGCTAGAGAACTGTATAGCACTACTTGAGATGTCAGATATTGGGGCATTTATTGCAGAGATATCAGATGCGTTGTAAGTACATGTCTGATGCTGTAAAAACGAGCCAACATGAGCTCCCAAATGACCATGTAAATGACCACTAGGAGAAGAAGGAACATGCAAGCGGTGTAACCTTGGTGCAGAAGAGCCATCGTGAATCTGCAAATTGGCGTCGTCTGCTTTCCTCTTTTTATGAATAATATGGATCCCATTCCGAGCAGGATACAAATCATTCTCATCTTTTGGTCGATCAAACTGTTTCTGAATATTAACAAGCTCTGAATATCTGGGGAACCCCGAATATTTAGCAAACTTCAGTTTATTTTCTTTGAAGACATGTCCTTCCGTATAAACCGTTTGTAAATCCATTAGTAGTTAATTAAAGACAAGAGATAGATGCATTTCAAATATCAGCAACCAAGAAAAACAGTCGGCCGAACAAAATCGGCTGCGAAGATACCCGCCACTGTGTGCTTGACTCCAACTCACTCAAACAAACTAGCGATCTGAGATGAACCACCATATACATCAATCTGCACATTGCACTGTTGAAAAAGTCACGAACAAAACTGTCTGTGAAGAAATCTTATTACTATTTTATTACAGCTGTGTAGCGGTAAATAAATCCTCAAAATAAATAGCTTTGAAAGTCTTCAACATTTGATGCTGACCGCATTCGTTTTACTGGATGCACATAACTGAAGGTACTCGGCTACGCATTCACACCAGATCACAAGTGGGTACGTTGTGCTACGCATCTCTGACAACCGTTTGCTAGCTTAGATAGGACGCTGCCTGATATGTCGACAGACATTCAAATATATATTCGAACCTCTTCAGTTCTGACTTCTGATTTGACTGGTTTGGCATATTTCGATTACAAAGGTGTTGGTCGTAAAGGCGTTATCAAAATCCGAATACTTGCGGCATCATCAGTATTGGTCTTAACGTAATCTAGTACACCTGTTCTCAAACTCAGCCAGTTCCTTGACGGAACATCATAAATTATTTCTTGTTATTTGTTAAACATTGCGATATTGTTTCCACATTTTCGGATATTTTTCCCGTTCATTGGTATACTTTGTACTTATCATGGTGGAACAGACCTCCACCATTTTAGCTAATGCTTTTTTGGACCGATAATATAGAAGCCTGATTCCGCTACGCAGCTGACTTTCACGGACACAGAGTGAGACATACGTCCACAATTCCTTAACGTAGCGAAGGCACTACTGCGTGATCTTAACAGGTACATCACACCAAGTACGTTTACTAGTGATGTTTCCGAACCTTATGATACTTAAAAAATTTCCTTAAATTAAGAGACCTAACCAACCAACAAACGTTGGACCAACATTTCCATAACACTGATCTACAGCATGGCTTAGCACCAGAAACGTTGGGTCATTAGTCAACGGACCTTTGACGAGGGCCTGGCTAGACAGCTCTTCTAATCTAAGCTTCCTCAACAAGTACAGGCGACTCTTGTCTCATTTCAAAATAGCTCTGTAGACAAACTGCCGACCGAATTCTGATGAGCACGAGAATTCTCAGCGTCGAGGTCTACTCAGTCAAATAAAAGCATTATACAATACAAAACGACGTTACGGACCTCTGTCATACTCTCACTCGTTATAATGTTCATCATAATCGTCGACGATTAGGAACTTCTCACAAAAAGATCTGTCCCTGGACAACCAAGGGCAGATAATCCTGATTGATGCCGGTACCACAATAAGTACTCTAAGTTTTCTCGAACTTACTGAAAACGCTGCAATTTTTCAAGCTTCGAACCGTCCCATCAGAAAAACCAGTAAGGACACTCCACTGACGACACATTTACGGCTACCTGTGAACATAGCCGTCTGCTGCACATCACTGATGTGGTGACGAAAATTCGCAATCGCGTCGACACTGGCGCGGAAGCTAGAGTTCTTCCAGCAAATTCTAACAACCTGCTTCATGAAGCAGTTTTCGATTTTCAGACAACGAACCGACTGCCATTTGCGGTAACCGATATGTGTATCTTAGCATGGGATCATGCAAACAAATTCACCGGACTTTCATTGTTACAGATGTTTCTATGACAGTCATTGGTACAGACCTGTTTCAACACCATAATCTACTCGTCAACACTTCCTCTTCCGGTTGTAGTTTATCCCCTTCACTTTAAGGCACATAATCGACCCATTCTATCAAAAAAATAACAGATAAATCCCCCGAACTATACCAAACGCAACCAAAATAATCGTTTGTAACCTGTAACGTTACACACCACATCACGACTATAGAACTATCCGTATTTTCGAAAGAGCGCCGACTAGCTCCCAAAAGACTTAGGTTGGCTAAGAATGAATTCAGCCACTAGACACATTTGGGAATTATCCGTCCATTAAAAAGCTAATGAGCATCTCCCTTGCACATGGTTCCTAGAAAAGACAGCAATGACTGGAATCTGATTTAACACGAAAATCAGTCCATATCGTTACCCGTTGCCGCACATTCATAATTTGACAGCTACCTTAAAAGGTACAACTGATTTTTCCGCAAATCTACCTGGTTAAAGCATACAACCGGATTCCCACCAACAATTGAAAGCTTCACTGTCAACTGCAAACATTTCAGAGTGGACTGACAGTCTTTTACTCGTGTTACTTGGCATTCACAATGCTGTGGCACAACTCGTTTATGGAATGTTACATTGACTTCCGGGAGAATTCATGGACCCATTGTCTTCTTCAATGAATATGGATATAAACTCCTACAACAGCAGGCTAACAAACGCCATGCGTTCTATTAAGCCTGTTTCCACTCGACCACGGTCAACGGGTGTTTTCATTCAGCTTACCCCACAATATAGTACACATTTTTATAAGCCACGACTCACTTCGAAGATTTGTCGAATGGCATACGGAAGAAATGTCAAACTCCTTCATCGCAGACCTAAACACCGTATAATCTACAAAAGTGGAATCAACTATAAAATCTGGATTGACCATCTTTAGGTCGCGTATTTGGAAATAAACCCTAGTAATGTTGATTTTCCTCCCGTACACTTGAATGATACGAGCCTGACAACCACGATAATCAACCTGATAATCAACAATCGCGGCGAAAAGCCGTGGACATCTGACAACCGGCCTGAAGCAACGAGCTCTGGAATAAGGTTGCGCTTTTCGGTACACTTGATCAGTTACTGTGCATAGGGTAGTGCATAACATCTGGCTTCATCTCGTTTGTTTGTGTTGTTGTGTCCAAAAACAACATTTTTCCAACATGCCCATAAATAGGTATCTTTTCTTGAAAAATCCAAAACATTATTGAGCAAGTGTTTTCACGCGTATTTTCCATACGTATATATACCGCTCTTCTTGCTTTTTTCGCCCGTTTTGTGTCCTTACGCACTTACTAGTGCAATTCTATATGCCCTTACATATCCTTTTTTCATTCACGAAAAAAACGAAAACTGGCGAAGATTACGATGGATTGGAAATTTCAGAATACTATCCATTACTATATTGTACCACATGGCCTCTTATAGTAAGGAAAGACAATCAAACGCTACTGGACATAGCAGACTATCAGAAGAGCGTTTACCAATGACGAACTTCTGAAATGCCACGTCTTAGGTCATCACTATCTCACTAGGGAAGGAGTGAGCTGTAGAGATAAATAAATTCTCAAAATAAGTAGCTTTTCAGGTCTTTAACGTTGATGCTAGGGACTGGATACACCTAGCTGAAGGTGCTCGGGTAGCTGCTCTGTAGCTGCTTTTGTATGGGCAGAGGTTCAAGCCTCAGATTTGTATAAGAACTTAAGGCCTCAAGCCCGTGCAATTATTTGCTAGCAAGCCACTCCTAGTATTTAGTATTTTCTTTAGCAGGTCGGCTGAGTGCTAGCATATGGTTTCCTTCAGTATCAATTTCGGTGGTTTAGTTACTCCTGTAAAATATGCTTGCCGCGAGGACTTTGTTCGTTGTTGGTTTTCGAAGTGACCTGCCATAACTTCAAGATTACCTATAACCATGTAGAAGAAAAGATTATAACAATATATTTCTGCATGAGCAGGTACACGTCATTTTTACAGGCATGATCTATAAATTACAACATTTGTTGGCGCATAGCATGCTTCACAACTGATTAAGTTTATGGTTGTTATAAAGTAGACTCGTAGAGCGCTTGCTGTAAACCATGACCTTGAGGAGATGAGTACGTTAAGTTTGTTCCAGACGTCAGCAAGGCACTTAGATATGAACGCCAAACGTTGATTAACATTATGTAGTAGAACAGATATAGGTATAATAAATCAGATTAAATTCATATTATCACTTGTTAGAGTGAAATGAAGTCAGAGGCTCTATATAAGAGAATGTAATAATAATGACCAATGAGTTGTGATGTTTAATAAGTTGGAGTAAGCTCACATGAAGGAAGGCAAGTCAAGGTTGATACAAGGAAAGCGGTTTATTAGAAGGGAGTGTGCATATAGTGGATGAAATGTTAAGAATACTAATGTCCATATCTTTTATTATCTAATTTTTTCTTTCTTTTCTTTTTTTGTCCATCTAATGCCAGCAACACAATCCTAGTGTAAAAGTTCGAGTTAGCATGTTTTAGGTTATCTTAGTAGAATAGCTAATCCAGCATAAAATGAAACACATTAAACAGAAATTCACTTCCGAATATCCCGAAAACCACAATTCAATCACTGTAACGGAAAGAGAACGACGAAGATCACTCCGCAGCATTTTTGTTGGACAGTACTGTCATTTATTTGTCGTGTATCTCATTCTCTGTTCAGATCTCGTTTAACCACACCCCTTCTTCTTCAGTCTTCCTCGTCTGAGCTTTTATTGTGTGATTTTGATTAAAAACTTATCTTTTGTTACCTAATTTTTCATTGCATGTTGCCGCACTATTGACAGTAAGGTCGTGTTTGACTAGGCTCAAGGCCACGGCGTGGTTCAGTGTGTGGCTGTTAACCTATTGACTGCCTGCTTGGGAGGATTGCTGGAATCCCTGCAGATAGATATTTGATCCCATCTTGTTTGGAACATTTTTATTGATTCTCAGGTGTCGAACCCTTTGGTGTTTACCGCTTCTTTTATTCTTTAGCGCGCTACTTTGCGCCAGAGAAACTTCTGACTGTATAGCACAGGCTGTACCGTATGAGGTATTCTGTTTTTTTGATATAATTTGTTCTATTTCCTAAATTTGAACCGTTTAAATTGAGCACAGAGTTTGTGTTTTTATATAATTTAATATGAGTATCTCAAAAACGCTTCGTATGCTATGCAGAAGACTGTAGTCTGTCCTATTCGAATAAATTTTGGTTCATCAGTCCTGCGTTCGAATCGAATACTAGAAGTTTGTTCGTTACAATCACCTCGTAATCTACGGTAAGGTAATGTAAAAAGGTCTTAATTTCGAACCCGCATACCACAAAATATATGCGCTAAGCCTCTCTATCAACTGTT